CCTTTTCTCTTATGAATGAGAGGTTTATCAAAAGCCCGTTTCTTCTTTAAACTTTAAAACAACCAATAGTTCATTTAAATGTACAGCCTGTTAATTCACTCAAGGGATAACTAGAGAAAACAAAATGTGTTTGAACTATAACATTACTGAGTTTTATCGACTTGAACGATATGTTCTGTGTATAATTTAGGCTCTATAACCACTGGTCGAAAAAGAAAGTATCGTTAACATAAAGTGTTTTGTTCTGCTGTTAGTTGCATTTATTGCAGTACAATTGCACAACCAACAGCTTATGGATGACCCCCAACATTCTAGGAAACTAAAGAAATGGAAACGTGAAACAATTGAATAGTGAGACAAAATCTTAAACGTTGTTTACCTTTATTCCTTTACTTGATTTATTCCGGAATAAAAGAACAGATGAGGGATGGAGAGTCTGACTGAACACAGAATCCAATGAATAAACGTTGAATATAAAACTTGTAGTAGTAGTTGGCTGTGCAGTTACAACTGAACAACGTGGATACTGAAACAGAATGAGTAAATTTACCGTTAGGGAAATACCTCGCTTTATGTTATTGTTTATCACATTAAATGAAAATATATGGAAAAAGATGCATAGAATTACACTTGTACTACGACAGTTGCAAGAAAATGGGGCAGCATTGACTCCAGAGAGCGTGTTGCCCTCGCCTCGAACCATGCACGACATAACATTAAGTTTACCTCAGGTACGGCACGGACACCACCGCAATCAGTCACAGAAAGCGGGGATCGACACCAAGGTGGATGAATATTATTTTCTTATTACTTCTGTTTAATGCAGAGAAATCGAGTAGAAAGGTGAAGCGAGGAGTAGCAGGTGTATATTTTGTTATGAAGACAATGAGTTGCACAAATTAGTAATTAGAAGAAATAAACATTTAACTCCTCCGCAGCGCGCGACGTCTGAAGACCCCCCCCCCCACACCGAGAAGGGCCCAGGAGCCGGGTTACGTCATCAGACTTCAATTGTTTTTCTCAGACTTATGTCGGGGAATATTAGCTTATTTTAGTATTAACAAGCCTTTCATGTGATGCCTTTTTCACAAAATTGTGAGAAAGACTGGTCAATCATTTGATCAAAATAAAAATGCCGAAAGTTGCGTTCTGCTGGTGAGTCCCATGACTGTAGGGGACTCACCAGCAGCGATAGAGAACACAACTCTCGGTAACTCCATTCGCGCTCTCTCTCTCTCTCTCTCTCTCTCTCTCTCTCTCTCTCTCTCTCTCTCTCTCTCTCTCTCTCTCTCTCTCTCTCTCTCTCTCTCCTCTCTATATTCATCATTGTTACAACATATTGCGTGCGTACGTGCATGCGGCTGTGTGTATGTATATGAGTCTATGTGTGTTTGTTCTAAAAATATGAAATGCGGTAATTTTTACCGCATACTCTGCAGATGCAGTAATATATCAACAGGCAACGGCAATGTTAACGTACCTATCAATAACGTAGCTAAATTAATCTAAATCCAATTATATCAGGCACAGCAACAAAGGTAGGTTTAAAAAAAAAGTACTGGATAATATAATGGAACATTAAAAATAATGATAATGATAATTAACGGTAACTAAAAGGCAAAACGTGTTGAGAAAATACACAATGTGCAATGTGTAAATATAATATATATATATATATATATATATATATATATATATATATATATATATATATATATATATATATATGAACCGATGCATAATGCATTATTTCATCCAGAATATATTTATTCGGTATTTATTAACAATATTAACATCTTAGAAACTGCTATCTAGGCAAGAGTAAGAAATATTAGATATACGATAAAGAATATACCCTACATGTTTCTTATGCTGTTTCGTTCCCATAAACATTATTTTGTTCATATATTTAGCCAGAAAGTGGATCTCCGAAGCACCAAGGGAAAGGAGACATTTGAAGTTCCCATCATGTAATTCCTGGGAGAATGAAACCGTGAAACCCTACACCTATAGAAGCCATTCTGCATATATGACGTTGATTTTCCGGATGTGACTGCTGTGAATCCAACTCCCAGCTGGATAAAGCAATTCAATTATTTAAGGCCAAAGATGAAATGACTAGAGGTGTGCATTGTATAAAATGTTCTCTTGAACTCCCATTCCCTTAATTGTTAGGTGTTCACGCATTCCATTTTTTTTTTTTTTTTTTTTTTTTTTTTTTTTTTTTTTTTTTTTTGTAAGGAAGGGCTGAAGGTGAACATGAAAAGAATTATCTCTTTCCACTTTCTCCTTCACGATTTCCTTTCCTACTCTGGATCTACAAGTTATATTTAATGCACTACATACACTTCCATTTGTCAGCTTTAATAAAAATCTTGAGAACTTAAGATATTAGCATGATCGGAATATTCCATATCAAATTATCTTAACATGCCATGGCCATAGTGTTATTGATAAATATCACGGCAAGGTTTTGAATTATTTAATGTTCAAATTATATGGGTCCATCCTCTGATTTGCTCTGAAATTTCTAGAACAATGCATGGAAGGGCTAAGATAGTGTTCCAAATATATATATATATATATATATATATATATATATATATATATATATATATATATATAATATATATATATATATTCTTTCTTTCTTTCTTTCTTTTCTTTCTTTTTTTTTGCGCGTACTAATGTTTTTCTTCAGCTGAACTGAGTTTCTATGCGAGGCAATCCATTCGATCAACTATTAGAAGAATGTCTACCTTGACTGAACGAGAGGAATGAGAAGTTCCTCTTTTATGGACCTGAAGGTTAGGAACGTCGTATTTTTCCAGCTTTCTTTGTGATCAGGGTCTTGATGTCTTCAAATTGGCCTCATTAATTAGGATTACTTATTAGTGTATAACTAGGGCTGTTAAGTAGTGTAGTGAGTGGGGTGGGAGTCGTGAACACTTCCTTATGATTTGCCTTTAGCAATTTCCAGCATTTCTCAGACCGACTAAATATATTGATAATAGAAATAGCGTTAATGAAATTATTATGCCTACATTGAAGAGTTAGAATTTGAGATATATAATGTAAAAGATAATATAGAATGAATTTTGTTTAATTTCAGTATCCCTATAAATGTCAAATGCAAATGAAATTAGTCTCACTATCCATTTGTATTATTTACCGAGTTGAATAATGAAAAAGGTAGGTATAGGAGAGGGATGGAAAACACTTCGCTGTGCTCATGGAATGCTTAGTAAGACGAAATTTTGACCAAAATTCAAGCCTACACTTTTGTGGGAATCATCCCGCCTGGGAGACGTTGGTTGTGCAATTGTGCTGCAATAAATGCAACTAACAGCAAAACAAAACACTTCTTTATGTTAACGATATTTCTTTTTCGACCAGTGGTTATTGAACCTAAATTATACGCATATCGTTCAAAGTTCAAAGATGAAAGTTAACACATTATTTTTCTAGTAATTCCCTTTGTGAATAGACATGCACCTTTACATTAACTATATGTTGTTTCAAGGCTTAAGAAAGAGAAAAGGGGCCTTTTGGAAACCTCCCATTCCAAAGGAGGAAAAGAGTGGCTTTTTTCGCGCCTTTGGATTCTGCAAGGAAGCTGTTGAGGGTGATTTTTTGACGAAATTAAGATCTTTTTTGCAATACAGAACGTGTTCAGAACTTGACACTCTAACGGGCATTTACATAATATGTAACACTGTAGTTCATCTTTTCGATACCTAAAGTCAGCGATTTTCCTATTAGTTTTGAATGGTTTGGTGTCGCTTTTCGAGGGTCTGATGATCCACCAATCCGGGGCCCGCACGCACGCTGCTCCGGCTCTGGTAAGTACCCCCCTAATATATACAGTGCTTCCCAGGACCTGCGCCTTCAAGAACATCCTGCGTGAATTCCCGGCCTTGACCAAGCCGATCAACCGGGCCACCCAACCACGGCACGAGGTCCGGCACCACATCGTGACCCACGTGGATTTTTTTTTTTTTTTTTCCTAAATGCGAAACGGATCAATCTGTTCACTCTTTCTCTCTGTCTCTCTTTTAGATTACAGTGATAGATATATGTCCACACAATCTTGCATTCATATATATATATATATATATATATATATATATATATATATATATATATATATATATATATATATATATATATATGTATATATATATATATATATATATATATATATATATATATATATATATATATATATATATATATATATAGGCTTGGAGATCATTTAGCGGTCTTTTGGCATCATTATATATATATATATATATATATATATATATATATATATATATATATATATATATATATATATATATATATATATATATATACATACATATATATATATATTATATATATATAATATATATATATATATATATATATATATAATACATATATATATATACCAAGAATGGTTTTAAGAATGTTACTCTTCCTTTGGGTTTTCTCTTGATTTTATCTTTCATTTCGGATCTGTCTTATTCGGGAATTAATTGGGTACGAGTCAGTGTTAACACGAAAATGATTAAATTGGAAAAGTTTCTGAATCGTATGGCTCATATCATATCAAGAAATATAGAAACTGATTGTCTTCGTTGAGTGAAAGCTTATGTAACAATGTGGACATGGTTTAACATTTTCAGCGTATTGTCGTATACACTTTTTTAGTCATTATATCACATGTATAATTCTTATGAATGCAAGTTTCAGCTGACCAAGGAAATGTACGCTCATGTATTGATGTTTTTTTCTTGTTGCTGTTGTTCATTATGGGACGGTTGTAATGGGTGAACGGGATCCTTTCCAGTGAGTATGGTTTAATGGGAAAAATCAAGTACGATTTTTTCTTGATTTATTGTTAATAGCTAAAAATGAATGTACTTTATCTGGCTTTGTCTTTACATGCAAAAAAAAAAATTACCGGTCAAGACCATGATATTGTGTCGAGGAGGTAAAAGAACAGACTCCGATGAATAATCAGAAAAGAAATTTATTTATGAAGCCCCTCCCCCCCCTCAAATTCCAGGTTCTAAAATCTGCTTAAGTTCAGCAACAGAAGAGCCAACAAGAACCACCGCTGCGTCAGAGAGGTTCTCACTCTATGTTGTTCTTGATCCAACGGAGGTAGGCGCCCACTCGTGTGTAGACGACCGGGAATTCTGTGTTTCCGCACCCGACGCCGAGGGAGACCGTGCCGACGACGTAGAACCTGCGGGTGTTGACGTCGAAGTAGTTGAGAGGCCCGCCGCCGTCACCCTATGGGGAGAAAAGACCTGCTGAATAAGCTTGGGAAGAACATTTAACACGTTATGTAGCGGTGTAACGCACATTTATACACGTGTCTATGTTTGAGAAATGTATGTGTGTATTTGCATGCATGGAAAAAAGATAGAAAGGTACATATGTTAGTGTAATATTAGAAGGGTCACACTGGTCATCAAAGTCAGGGTCGACATGACAGCTTACCAAGACCCAAATTGCGCTGTAATAAATTAGTAATTCCCTGAGGTTTCGCGCATCATGGAAATCCACCAACTAGAACTCTTTTATCTCGAATATGTGATGAATATCAGCCTACATCACTTAAAAAGAGACAACAAACCACTTACGCCACAGAAGGCTTCTGTTGCGCTGCTTGCACACATCTGCGAGTCTGTGAGGGTGAATTTGGTTCCCAGGCGGTCAAACGTGGACTGACACGTGCCCAGATCGACCACGGAAAGCACTATTGAAATTGGTACTTTCGATGCCTCGCCATCTGTTAAATGTGAAAAAGAAAAATAGGCACATTTCCTTTATCCAAGATCTTTAACTCTATATATTATATACTGTGGACTATTCTATATATTCATCTATATGTATAGATATCTGTATATCTATTTTTCTTGTATCCGTATCTTTCTACGTCTTTTTGCGTCTGTCTGTCTCCCTCTCTCTCTCACTGTCTGTGTGTGTGTGTGTGTGTGTGTGTGTGTGTGTGTGTGTGTGTGTGTGTGTGTGTGTGTGTGTGTGTGTGTGTGTGTGTGTGTGTGTGTGTAATTTACAAATGTATATTTATACACACATTACTGTCGCCAGTATACTATACTCACGAGTCTTGTTCTGTTCTGTGATGGTACTGGATGGGTTCGAGATATACCTATACATTAATCTATTTCAACATTGATCTGCGTCGTTTTATTATATCTGAGTATGTATGCATATGCATATACATCCATGTTCTGTATGTGTATGAGGTTTTAGCTAGGTATGGCATTAAGGTCATTATATGTACAAGAGGTATATGGAGAGCTTTTTGTGCAGCAAATACACAATTATGTGTATAGTATCTAGAAAATGAATTTCCTAGAATCTTGCGTTCGCCTTCCTTCCTCCTCCGCCAGCTCCCGCCATTGTGACTCACCGAGGGCAGTGCGGCCGTAGCCAACAACAACAAGACGTTGTTTCAGAAATTCCTCGCTCCGGTAGTTGAAAGGAAGGCAAACCGGCCGAATGAAGTCTGTCGATGGATAACACGTTAATGGGTATCGTGGGAAGTGGGGTGAAACAACAGTAACATCATTATCCAATTACGAGAATAAAACATTTGCAGCCACATGGCCTTCCAGATGTCTCTCTCTCTCTCTCTCTCTCTCTCTCTCTCTCTCTCTCTCTCTCTCTCTCTCTCTCTCTCTCTCTCTCTCTCTCTCTCTCTCTCTCTCTCTCTCTTTTACTTTTTTGTGCTTTGAATATGCATCTATCCTTTAAATCAGTAAAACAGCACTATCAGTTAATCTTTATAACAAGTTTATTATAGTTATATCATCCGTAAAATGCAATGCGTTAATTACTATTCATACATAACCAGAAACATGAACATAAAAAGAGAAACTAAAGACAGGTAAGTAAATGTTGATGATGATGATGATAATGATGATGATGGTGGTGGTGATGGTGATGATGGTCGTGGTGGTGTGTGATGGTGATGTGATGGTGATGGTGGTGATGATGATGATGGTGGTGGTGATGATGGTTGTGGTGGTGGTGATGATGATGGTGGTGATGGTGATGATGATAGTGGTGGTGATGGAGATGATGGTCGTGGTGGTGATGGTGATGATGATGGTGGTGATGATGGTGTGTGATGTGATGATGGTGTGTGATGGAGATGATGTGGTGGTGATGATGATGGTCGTGTGGTGATGGTGATGATGATGGTGGTGGTGATGATGATGGTGGTGGTGATGGTGATGGTGGTGATGTATAATCGAATAGAAATCAAGAAAAAAAGGAAAATCAGTTGCCTCCCCCCCCCCCCGCCCTACCCTGCTGAAGCAACTCCTTAAGCTCATATATGATGAAAATAAGTGTATAGGTTAAGAAGCAAAGAAATAGACATGCAGTGATAGACAAGTGTTGGCATACTGATAAAATATGGAAGAAATTGGAAGTGTGACAACTAGAGAGGGAGAGATTAGTATATAGACATATATAAGCAAATATGGTTATATATAGATAGTACTAAAAACAGATGGAGAAAGCCAGACATATCAGCATATTCTTTACAGGTCGATAAACTAAAAGGATTAAAATGCTATAAATGCAGTAATTCTATTCACAATTATCAATTCCTAAATAAGAGAAATCATTATACGTGTATGTATAATATAATATTTCTCGGTCGAAATATGTGAAAAGTCGTCCAAAGCTAATTATCCATTTTGGGAAATAGCAATTACACAAAGAACAATAACACAGAGGAAGCAAAATAACTGGTTTATTATTGATTAAATGGAATGATTGATATATACTGTCAATGCCATGGCCTTGCACAAGAACTTCGATGCGGTGTTTTGGCTTTGGTGCTTACGACCTAAAATATGGCTGAAAGACAGACATATACACAGACACATACATAGCAGTAGAGATATAAAAAAAAATAAAATCTAATAAATGTAAGCTTAAATCAACACTTAAATGGATAGACAGACATGCATCAAGGTAAGAAGTCAGGCAGACGAAATAAGCAAACAGACAGACAGACAGACAGAAAGACAATTCCAAATATCACAAACTCACCATTGAATTCAACGTCCCTTTCCAGAGTCAAGATGGATATGTCGTCTCTGTGAGTCGTTGTACTATACCCCGGGTTAGTGTGGTTCACGACGACCAGATCGACGTGAGAAGCCTCGTCCGTGCGGCTCAGGTCGAAGTCACCGAGACGAACGTAGTACCTGAAGAAAAGATAATGACGATCGAAATAAACGTATATTCGTTCATTTCCTTAGTACAGCGTGACTCAAACTCGCAATTATATCAATTCATAAACGGAAAAATGAACATGAAGTCGACTCCTTTTTTTAAATCTTATATTCAAAATATACTAGTAACCTGTTGCTCAGCCTGTGACTCCAGCACTGTTCTTTGTTTGCATTGTTGCAGGGTGATAGATATAGATATTGTTTTAATAAGTATATGTGGTTATTATGAGAGAGACAAGCAAGTAGACAGTGATTAATAAAGCGACAGGGAAGTAGATGAGATGGACAGATAGTTATTGGGTACATGGCTGCCAAATGCCTGCGATGTGAGTAAATAACGAAAGCAGGTGCAATCAAGGTCTTTCTTCAAGTAGGAAAATTTGGTAATTCTAATTGTTGGAAAATTAGCCGCTTATTTATAGGAACAGATGCGGAAAATAAATGGAATTATAAAAAAAGGAAGAGTACAGAAATCGAGGCAATAGCATAACAGGAAAATAAAAAGAATTCCTCACGGGCTTATACCACTCTCTCCAGATAAGCAATGAGCTCCTGTGAGAACATGGCGACGTGTGATGAGGGATCCGCCACAAATTGTAAGAAAGGTGTTTTCGAAAGGTTTTCCAATGGCAGCAAACCACGGCCATGCGCCACGCTGTTGGATGGAATATGCACGCATCATTAATCCCAGTAATGATAGTAATGTTACATAATGAAGATGTAAATAGAATATTATTATTTACTCTACCTAATGTAAACGAGTGTTGAATCTCAACAAATATATGATATGATATACCGTGATACCCTTTAATAAGCTGGACTACAATATCACCCTTGGACACGTAGAGACTTACCCTCTTAAGATCGTTCTGAGGACCAGTAGGCTCAGAGAAGCCGCACTCTTCCTCGGTTGGAATGAGAGGCTTCGAAGGGCAGCATCTCGAGACGTAGTTCAGCAACTGCCTGTAAGCATCCGGACTCCATTGTGAAAAGGCTGGGTGATTACTGAATTACCAAATAATAACTGTACCCACGGACTTTAGTTATGCCCATGTGGTCCCTTGTCGAAGTGCTTAAATATCTTAAAAGGCCATGGGATCTGATATGTCGAAATTTGACTGATTTACTTCGTTGTTTCACATTTGAAATCCATGACCGGCGAATCACTCACTCTCCCAACGGCGTGCTGAAGAAGGGCTGCACAGAAGGCTCGTCCCTCTGGCTGACAAGACTCAGGTAAGAAGGACACTCAGCCTGCGATCCACAGCTGCCTGCAGTGTGGGACATGTTGATAAGTGCGAGATATATTTAAAAGAAAGAGGGAGGGGGGTAGGAGGAGATAAGTAGAAAAGAGAAAGAGAGGGGGGAGAAGAGGAAAGGAGGAGGGGGAGGCAGAGAGAGAGAGAGAGAGATTGAACTGGGGGAGAAATGGATAGGGGGAGGGAGGAGCAGAGAGAGGGGGAAAGGGGAGGAAGAGAGGAAAGGGGGAGAGGAGAGAAGAGGGTGCGGGAGGGAGAGTGAGAGGGGGAAGGAAAGGGTGGGAGAGAGGGAGAGGAAGAAGAGGAGGGAGAGGGGTAAGGAGGAGGGAGAGAGAGAAAGGGGTAGGGGAGAGAGGGAGGGGAAATGGGAAGGAAGAAGGAGGGGGGGATGGGGAGGGAGGGAGAAGGAAAGGAAAATGGGAGGGAGAGGCGAGAGGGAGAAGGAGGAAGGGGAAACGGAAAGAAAGAAGGGAAAAGAGAAGGGAGAAGGAAAGGGGAAGGAGTGGGAAAAGAAAGAAGGAGCGGGAGGGAGGGAAGGAATGAGAGAGAAAAAAAGAAAGAGGAGAGGAGAGGACGGAAGAAAAGAGAGAGAGAAAAGAGAGAATTTTCATTGTAAGAGAAAAAAAAAGTTTAGACATCAGAGTTGAAGCATTTTGCAGTTCGTGATAAACATTCAAACAAAAACTATGTATATAAAGAATGTGTGCGTGTGCATGTATGTATGTATAATATATATATATATATATATATATATATATATATATATATATATATATATATATATATATATTATATATACATACATACATACTGGGTATATTTATGTATATATATATATGTCACACACACGTGTGTGTGTGTGTGTGTGTGTGTGTGTGTGTGTGTGTGTGTGTGTGTGTGTGTGTGTGTGTGTGTGTGTGTGTGTGTGTGTGTGTGTGTGTGTGTGAATCAAGAATGGCTCTATACGTACCGTCTGAACCGCCCAGCGAGACGCAGGAAGGGCCGACTGTGAAGATACAGGAAAAATCAGTAAGATAGAAAATCAGAACAGGTAACATAAAACGCGAAACTGATTGCCAGGTGTTGTGACACGTCATCACCAAATCATCTCCATCACCATGTTCATCATCAAGATCTCACTACTGTTCATTATTCAAGAACACCGTGCGCACGATCACCGTCACGACAAGCAGTAACATCCGCGACAGTAACCGGCTTCCAAATCATCACCATCATACCATATAAAATATAAATACTTTAAAAAGGGTATATCATAACGTTCGGAAAAGTTAACAAAAAAAGGCAAGTAAAACAAACGGTATATATGGATGACTCTGCAACCACCAGCCTTAAACACCGTCACCTTCAGGATATGTTATCATACATCTTTCACTTTACCTTCCCGCAAAGGAATAATAACGGAGATATCAAATTCGGAATGTGATTGGAAAGTGATTAATGCACCTGTCAATCCAAACCTCTAACCCCCTTCCTCAAGGTTCGACACCCATATTGTTTCACAGGTGGGT